GTCCCTCCAGAGTAAAAATGACATTTTGTGTCTGCCGGTTTTGTTTACTTGCGGGAGTTCATGGGCATTTTCCCACACGTGAATTCTGACCAATCAATAAGCAGTTTAGGAAATATGTTCAACAACATCTGGGAAATGAGAGATGTGGATTTTGTCACATGACTGCATTCTGGTTCTTTTCAACTGGTTCGGTCCAAAGCCAGCAGCGTGGTGTGAAAACGACCCAAAGACGGTAGAAAATGCAGCAATCATTTATTGCCCTTGGTCCGGACCAAATGAAGCGAACTACAGATGTGAAAGCACCCTAAGAAGTAACAAAATTTTTATGGGGGAAGCAAAAACTATTTTCACTGGCTAATATAAAAAAACCTTAGTGTTTTGCTGTGTGAAAGTCCGAAATTTCATTCACAATGTTCTCAAAAAGGTCTCAAAGTCTTAAATATGACTTATAACCAAAAGCAAGTTCATATTGTAAATATTTCTTTAACGATACTTTTCGAAAATTCATTTAATTTTTCCCTTCAAATAGAATTTTTAGTTGCGCCATTAAGAAATCAGGGCACTCTAGAGCCCTGCAATACTTTGTAATAAAATAACGTTCTTAATCGTTTTTCTTTTTTGTAGAAAACCGTTTTCGGAATATTTTGTTTAATAAGGAACGCAAGAACACAAACGATTTCGAATTCTGCTCGGAGTGAACCAATTGGGTTTTTTTCTTTTCGTTTTTAAGCCCAGCTTGGCAGAAACCCTGATTTAGTATGAGTGAAGAGTTCAGATGCAAAAACCTGTAAGTGCCGCCTGAAATTCTATAGAAAATGAACATTTTTCTCAACCTTCTTTGTTTATGTTAAGATATTTCACTTTAAAGAACAGGGGTCTGTTCTTCGTACCTCACTTAAATGATCTAAGATGATTTGGCAGATCCTGGATCTTTTAATCTTGATAACTGATCTCTCGCTAATTTGGTTCTTCAAACAAGTTCGTGAATCAGATTAGAATGTCTGGATGAACTGATCTGAGATCGCTGCGTGTGTTGTGAAGGACTGATCTATCGATCCTCGAAATCATGATCAGCAGTGCAACGATTGGCTGACGGCACAGCTGCGTAATGACATCATCTGATTAATATTCAATTATCCATGTGAGCAAAATTGCATCAAATTAGCAGTAAACGGTTTGTTGAATATGACACGCAGTAACCTTCCACATTTGTTGTGAGCTGCAGGCTTTACACTTTCATGTGTCAAGAGTATCATCATGTATTTTAATGCAAATCAATGTATTTATTTCTACATTTAGAAAATATTTTCTTTATCATAGTAGCCGTTTTTTAATCGCTGTATGGAATAACTGGTTGTTTACAAAAGCATTTTGATATTGGTAAAGGCGTCTGCAACTTTGTGAAGCATCAAATCACTGGCATATTAACTGTCAAAACATGTTTATGACTGCATAAATGTATTATTGCTTTAAAAAAGTCACATATTGTGTATTTCTATTATACACAATTTGTACTAAAGCGATCTAAAAAGTTCATATCAATAAGTTTTTCTCTGTGCACCACCAGGTGGCAGTCTTTGTACTTTCATTTTGAGAGTGCAGATTGCATAAATTTTATTAATCTATATAACTTTATTTATTTTATTAATGACTATAACTTTAAATATATATATATAGTTAAAAAAATATTTACTATTTTCCCAAGTGTATATAACTACTACTGTAAGAAAATATCAGAATTCGTAACATACTTTCTGTATTATCTTTGCTTGAACTAAGCCGATCTAATCCTGTTTATATAAATTGAACCTGCTCCCGATCAGGTTTGACCTAGCAGAACTGTTGCTATGACAACAACTCTCGGATCAGCTTTGAAGAACGAAACTATCCTGGATCGTGTCAAATAGTCAATATCCAAATTCAGCTAACTGAGTAATCCACGTATGAAGAACATACACACAGGTGCCTGATTTAAAAAAAAAAAAAAAAAAAAAAAAAAAAATATATATATATATATATATATATATATATATATATATATATATATATATATATATATATATATATATATATATATATATATAT